GCGGCCGCTCCCCGGCGGCGCTGACGGTCCCGCCGCCCCTTGCAGAGAATCCGCTCCCAGAACATCGTGCCCTGCACCGTGTCGCAGCTGCTGGCAGCCGAGCAGGTCGACGAGACCTTCCGGATCCGCGACGTGGAGATCTCCCAGGTGGGCGCCGGGGGAAGGTGGCGAGCGGGGAGGCTGCGGGTAAAGCAGGCTGCTTTCCCGGCGCCTTCCCGGATAAACTCTTCCCCCTTCCACCGCAGGTCACCATCATGGGGATAATTCGGCACGCTGAGAAGGCACCGACAAACATTCTCTACAAAGTGGACGACATGACGGCAGCCCCGATGGATGTCAGGCAGTGGGTTGACACTGATGTAAGCACTGTGTTCCTTGTGAACGCGCTTCTTTAAAAGCTCTGGGAGCGGTGAAGAGAGAAAACCTATCAAAAAGGTGTGGCTGTTCTGTGTTTTAGGAATGAAAGTCAAGGGAGATGCTGCTGTAGCAGAGATCACTGGTGCTGTATGTGGCTCTTCTCCTGTTTTGTAATTCATATGTGGTTCTACGTTGAATCACTTTGACTAATATTTCAGAGTTTAGCTGCTGAAGCTCAACCGTTACTTCACAGCTGAACTGAGAGGTGCACGCTCAGTACCTTTGTTGTAGAAATACAAGGAGAGGGAGTGAGCAGAGATTTTTCTGTGTGGCTCAGTGATTGAGGCGAAGACGTGTACTGATGGATATTGTCTTGTTTTCTGATGCATGCCTCCTGAAGTGCTGATAATTTTCACTGCTGGTATAGCAGGCCGTTAAAGCTAGCCCATGTTATTGTAACATATACTTGAAGGCAAACAGCTGAGATCAGTTGAACAACTTTGTGAGAGAATTAGGCAGACGTTCAGTTGGCTTAACTGCAAGTTTATCATAACTTCAAAAAAGGTTCTGGACTGCTTCCATTCCCCTAGCCAAGTTACATAGTTGAACCCCTGCTTTTTTACTACTTGAGGGTTCTTTCCTCTTGTTGCTCCATGAAGACCTCTTGGAAGTGGGCAGAGAGAGCAGAACAGACAGCTGGCTTTGACTGCTGTCAAGTGTACTGTGTGTTCAAACGACCAAATATTTTTTTTCTCTGTTTTCCGTTTATGGTTATGCTTATCCAACTGCTCTTAGTGGACGTAGGAATGCATGCTGTTTGTGTTTGCTTGAGAGAAGCCTCCTTTCCTAAGTCATTTATTGTGATAATTGAGAAATGGAAATGTGAATCAGCAAAACCTTCCTTTCTCCTTTTCCTCTCTGTTAGGAGGCAGGTGGCGAGAATGCTGTGGTACCTCCAGGAACTTACGTAAAAGTAGCTGGGCATCTTCGTTCTTTCCAGGTAAGATGATGTTACCCGTGGCTGACTCCTCGAGTCACGAGGCTGGAGCAGTGGCCTGAAGGACTGGTGATCTGGCACAGCATTAGTGGTCTCCCTTTACAATATCCACATAATCGTGGGCTTTGCTCATCCTTTCCTGTGGACAAATCCTTCAATATTTTTGCCAGGGTTGTATTTAATAACACTTTAGTTGTTCCTAAGTGCAAAGGACAGAGGACCCATTTAAAATGCCATTCTTCATCAGTGCGTTGTTTTCAGCAGAACAGAGTACTGGACACCAGGTTCTTGGGTGTTTGTACCGTAGAGCTTAGACCAGGTTCTCGTTAATGGGGACGCTTCTTGTGGCATATTACGTGATGTGGTTGCCTCAGAACTAAATATTATAACGAAATATATGAATAAATATTCAAATAATGGTACATGCATTAAAGCAAAGTGTTGTTAATTACCAGCCAGTTAGAGAGAGAAGTTATCCTGTCTGCATTGTCTTGCAAAATCACATATTGAAAACGTAAGTCAGAAAATTTTGGACTAGGTATGTGCAGACAAACCCCACCCACCGCTGTCCCTGTGAGAATGGAGAAGAATGGTTGGATTGGCTGTTAAGCGTGTTCCTGTTCCTGTGATGTTGATTTTTTTTCTTTTGCCCTTTTGTTTTTTTTTTTCTGTGAAAGAATAAGAAAAGCCTGGTGGCATTTAAGATCATGCCTCTGGAAAATATGAATGAGTTCACCACGCACATACTAGAGATTGTCAATGCGCATATGATCCTCAGAAAAAATCTTATGGTACGTACATACTTGAAGATCCTGATTCCGTCTTGGCCCTTACTGGGTTACTGGTTATCTCCCAAAGAGAGGGACCTCTTGGTTCACTGGGGAAATTGTATACCAGTTTTGGGGCTGGAAAGCTTGAAGTTGTTGGAGGGCTACAGTGAAGGTGTAACAGGAGTCCTGGCTTCCTTGGAGAGAGGTTGTGTTGCAGTCCATTTCCAGCGGTTTCTTTTGGGAATCTGTTTTTAATTACTGTCTCTCTGAATTAACACTGGGTCTTTAATGCCGTGGGCTTGCGGCACCCTGTGTAACCACAGCAATTTTACTCTCGTAATTTCAGTCAGCATCAAGAGCGCCTCAGTCGTTTTCTGCTGCTGGGATAGGTGACATGGGCGGCTACGGAGGAGGGGGCAGCCTGCCAGTGAACGGACTCACAGCGCATCAGAGTCAGGTAGGTGCAAGCAGCTCCTTCAGGAACACAGCAGTCGCAGCGGAGGCTGCTGTGGCATGATGTAGGACAAAGAGATGAAAGCTCCGTTGCTCTTTGAAGGCGGATAGTTCTTCCTCGACCATCTCTCCACTGATGACAGAGAAACCTAGCTGGGTGCTAATGGTGGCTCTTGCTTTTGCAGGTGCTGAACTTGATTAAAAACTGCCCTGTCCCAGAAGGTATGAGTCTTCAAGAGTTGAAACATCAGCTCCAAAATATGAGCATGTCAACAATCAAGTAAGTGTGTAGAAAGGTCGGATGTTCTGGAAATCCAGGTGGTCTTTCCTGGAGTCTGATCAAAGGAGGCAGAGAGGACAATAGCTGGCAAGCCCAGATCCCTACTTGTTCAACAGCACTAGGAATTGCAGATGTCCCCAGCAGGACGCAGTAGCGAGCCAGAGCTTTTGAAGTCTTCAGCAGCTGAGAATGAGCCATTGTCAGTTAAAGGGGTGATAAATGCTTCACTCCCTCTTTTCAGAACAAGCTGTGTAACAGTTCAGTAGCAAAGTAACAGGCGCCTGGGAGCACCGCAGGGCCTCGGCAGTATTTTCTCCTGTTCAAGGGCTACCTTGCTCTCTGCACACCGACCAAAACTTGGGAATAGACTGTTTCTGTTCTCTTTTCCTTTGCCATCTCTTATAACTTCTCCCTGAGACTTAAAAAAAACAGTGAAGCCTAAAGATGGTAATTAACATCCATTATCTTTCTGTATTCTGTCCCCTTTGAGGGGCAGGTACTGCTTTTACCTGGGAAGTACAGAGAGTGGTGGCCTCCCCCTCTGTGGCAGGCAAAGCCCAAGAGCTGCTGGGGGAGCGCAGTGCCGTAGTTTTGGAGAAGCTCTCTGTGCCTGCTGGCTGGTGGAGCAGTACTTAAACTGCTCAGAGGATAGGGCAGATGCCAGAGGGAGCAGTAGGGATGGGGTCTGTAAATGGGAAATCCCTGAGAGAAGGGTGTTGACGTGAGCTAGTTAGCAGTTACTTTTTTTTTTTTTTTTTTTTTTTTTCCTTCAAAGGCAAGCCGTTGAATTCCTTAGCAGCGAGGGACACATCTACTCCACCGTGGATGATGATCACTATAAGTCGACGGATGCTGAGTGAAGTTACTTCCAGCTGGATTTAGTTCTAAGCAAATGCTTGTCCATGTATCAAGTTATCCTGCCGAGCTTTGCGACGTGGAAGGTGATCTTTGCTCTTTCTAGCCTGTGAAAGTCCCAGTTACGCTGTGAGTGCCTCCGTGGAATTCAAGGGCAAGCAGAACGAGTAGGATTCTGTTAACTGGACTCGATTTTATGCTGTGACCATGTGACGAAAAGCATAAACAGACATGGGAAAACAGCTCCTCAAAGCTTCAGAACCTTCAGTTTGGTTTGTCTCCATAGAGGATGCCTGTGTTAGGAAGAAGAACCTCTTTCTAATCTTGTCCTGGGCAGATCATCTTTTCTTTCTAGAGCTGTTTCTCCTAACTCAGCTTTCATTCCATTTCATTCACAAAGTGGATAGCCAAGAGTAATATTCCACTAATGTACAGTAATCATGAATAGATTTTTAATTGGTTTAGTTTGTGCATTTAAATCTATATTTGTACTATGAGGTGATCTTGTTACTAGAGCTTTTGAATGTTTCCAATAAAATTTTAACTTGGGTAGTCTTCCATGCGTGTGTGGCTTTAGAGGCTTTTCTTCTTCCCTAAAGAAGACGACCAGCTGCACCGACAAAACCTAGCCGTGTGCGTAAAAGCACAGCCCGTGCCTTCGGAGTTTCTTTAACTGTAACTTTTTTCCTTAGCTTTTGAAGGAAATTGCTTTAAAGGGTCAAACTGAGTGAATGCCTGGACACTAAGAAATTAAATAATTGTACTGCTGAAGAAAGCTACGTGTTGTATCAGTGTTCCAAATACAGCCAGGATCATTTCTGCCACCAGAAGTACTTCAGCTGAAGCTCAAATGAATTGCAGCGTGTGGTACAAGTTTTTCTTCTTTCAACTATTTTTAAAGCATAACCAAAAAACCCACTAAGGTCAGAAAAGCAGGGCTGATCCTGGTGATGCGTCAGTGGAGATACCAGATTTGCATCTCCTGTTTCTCTGCACTGCCCCGCCTTGTTCGGCAGCGTGCTGAGGGCAGCTGCTCAGCGTATTTCTGTCCTCTTAGTCATTGTATGCTTCCTCTTATGTCAAATGCAAAGCTGAAAACGACCTTCTGAGAATTGGTTTGCGCTTGTTAATGGCAGCATTTCAGGAACTGGTAAATATTCAGGAGCATTTTTCACCACGCCCCGTACGGCGTGTAGCTGTTCTCACAAGAGGATCCATGGCTTTTGCGGTGAATGCCTTGCTGAAAAGCAGGACCCGGGATCTTTCAAGCCGAACGCCGAGATGCCAAACCGCGCTTGCTGCCTTGCCGGAGGGGAGCCTGCTTTGCTGCGCTGCGCTGACCTGTCCTTTGGCTGCTGCCTGCCGAGTTCCCAGGGGCCCACTGGAAAAGCGGCGCGCAGCCAGGGCTGATGCCGGTGGGCTCACGGGCTGGTCGACTCCGGCTGCCACGGGAGCTGCGAGGCGTGAGGTTTGTGTTACCCGGGACTGCTGAAGTGACCTGGCTTTGAAGAAGGAGTTCTTCCCTGTGCGCACATCGGTGGGGCTGGCTGCCGGACCCCGGGCGTCTGCTGCTGGGGGCAATGCTGGACCTGCCCTGCTCGGGCTCAGAGAGCGGCACGGCCGTAGCCCATGGCACTAAATCGTGCTATAGATGTGTGACAGGTGAACTTGCAGGCTGTGGAGTCTAGCAGATCTAGGAGCCAAAAGTACTGCCGTCTCCCTTTTGCAGGAGCTGTGCAGGTTAGGAAGAAAATCCCCGATGATCTTTGGAAGTGAACGGAATTGCTTGCAGTAAAGAGAGTAGTTGTGCAACTGGACAAAACGCTTGTGATGTGACTGGAGAGGAAAAACTCATCGGCTGGGGAGGGAGTTTAAGTCTTTGCCTGGTTTCCACTTGCTGCTTGATCTTCAAAGCATCCAGGAGCATCTGCTGCTGTCTGGCTAGGGGGATGATTTGGAATAGGCCTTAGGGGACGGAAGCATTAGAATCACAGAATCAGTAAGGTTGGAAAAGACCCTTAAGATCATCAAGTCCAAACGTTAACCTGTCACTGCCAAGTCCACCACTAAACCATGTACTTGAGCACCACATCTACCCTTCTTTTAAATCCCTGCAGGGATGGGGACTCAGCCCCTGCCCTGGGCAGCCCGGGCCAGGGCCCGACAGCCCTTTTGGTGAAGAAGTTTTCCCTAATATCCAACCTAACCCTGCCCTGGCGCAGCTTGAGGCCGTTCCCTCTCGTCCCATCGCTTGTTACTGGGGAGAAGAGACCGCGGCTCCAGCCTCCTTTCAGGCGGTTGCAGAGAGCGATGAGGGCTCCCCTCAGCCTCCTCCAGACTAAACACCCCCAGCTCCCTCAGCCTCTCCTCCTAAGACTTGTTCTCTAGACCCTGCCCCAGCCTCGCTGCCCTGCTCTGGCCACGCTCCAGCCCCTCCATGGCCTTCGTGGGGTGAGGGGCCCAGCACTGAGCACAGCATTCGAGGGGCGGCCTCACCAGTGCCCAGCACGGGGGGCTGCTTCACAAAAAGTTGGCATTTAAAACTATCTGTGAAGTAGCAGTGAAATCCAAACACAGAATGCTTTTGGCTGAAATAAAGGAGAGAAGGAAAAACACTTGGGCATTTTCAGTTGTTCTGGTTTCCTCTGTGCTCTGCTCCCCTCCTCTCTGCAGCCCATCTTCTCCCCAGCCACAGTCCAGCGAGCAGTTTTTTTCCCCGGGAGAAGGAAAAACTGGATTCTGGAGTGACTTAAACACATGTTGGCCCCTGCCACTGTGGAGCGTCTCTTGGTTGAAGCTTCTTACATTGTATGAAGCCATGAAGAAAGGCTGAGAGAGCTGGGGTGGTTCAGCCTGGAGAAGAGGAGGCTCCAGGGAGACCTTATTGCTGCCTTTCAGTGCTTAGAGGGGGCCTTTGAGTAATGGAAGATGGAAAGAGACATTTTACCAGGGCCTGTAGCGACAGGACAAGGGGCGATGGTTTCAAACTGAAAGAGGGTAGGTTTAGATGGGACAGAAGGAAGAAATTTATGATGATGATGGTGGTGAGAGACTGGAACAGGTTGCCCACAGACACTGTAGATGCCCCATCCCTGGAAGTGTTGAAGGTCAGGTTGGATGAAGCTTTGAGCAACCTGATCCAGTGGAAGGGGTTGGACCAGACGATCTTTAAAAGTCCTTTCCAACCCAAACCATCCCGTGTTTCTCTGATGCTATGCTTTAGGTGCTGTCAATGAATGGCTAGCGCCTGTTTGCAGGTGAGAGCTGGGTTCTCCCTCCTTGGCCGAGTATTTGGTGAAAGGACCTCAACAGCAATAGCCAGTGCCTCACCCACAATGGTGACTGGAGGGGAGAGTGCCAATACCGAGTGTAAATCCCAGGGCAGAGCCAGAGCCCGAGAAGGAAACCAGCCCAAACCCAAGCTGGGACTTGCGCCAAGCTTGAAGGAATGAGATCGTCTTTGCCGCTTTGGGACACTGCCCTAGGTGCTGTGTGAGGAAGGACATGAACCGAAAAACTAACCCCAAAGCTACTCTTCACCGTGAGAGGGAAAAAAACCCCAGTTTGATCTTAAATGAAATTTAAAATTTATTTTCCAGCTCTGATTTGAAAGGAGTGCAGTGCGTGATGCAGGAGTGAAATGCCTGCTTGCTCTCAGTGTAAAGCTCTCCTCTCATCAGCTCTTTTCCCTTAATGCACATCAGGACTATGAGCGCTTTGTCTCTGCCACTTGCCCAGGGCTTTGCCAAACTTCCAGGAAAAGAAGAGTTGACCTTTGGTCCTTATTTGGTTTTCAGGTAATTTTTTTTTGCATCCAGCGCCAAGAGTGCAGCAGGAGTCTTTGCAGGTGCCAAGAACCTGCAAGAGTGCGACAAGCACGCTTGCAAGCAGGAGGGGACCATGGAGGTCTAGGACAGACATCGCTTCCAGCTGCAAGTGCAGTTAAAAACGGATGAGACAGCCAGCAAAACCTAAAGCCACAATGCTTTTATAATATTTCTTCAACCTTGGTGAGAAATTAGGCCAGAGTGAGAAGCGAGTTTGGCCGTACTTGAGAAAAATGCAGCGTCTGCCTTATGGAAGCGGGTTTCTAACATGCAGTTGTACAAATATGTCACAGTGGTTTGAGCCCCCGCTGGGGCACAGCTTGCACTGTGTGAAGTACCTTGTCATGTCTCCTCCTAACCCCATCCCACCCCACGTGCTAACCGGTGTCTGGACCTGCTGGCCCCAAAGCATCTCCATCTGGAAGCATCTGTAATGCCAGCCCAGACACTGTGGCAACACAGCAGAGTGGAGTGAGCTCCGTGTCCCAGGGCCTGGGCTGGCATCTCGGTGGCATCTTGGTGGCTGCCCAGCTGTACGCTGGTCTGGTGCTGTCGGAGAGTCCCACGGGTGACAGCTGAGGACACAGCCCACGGCACAACAAGGGGATTTACTCTGTGCCTGGGGTTGTCCCGACAGCGTACGGGCTGCTTGCCTTCGAGGAAAGTGGGCGCCTTTCTGCAGGATCGAGGCAGGTGGAGGTTGCGCTGTGGATGCCTAGGGCCGTATTGAGCCTCTGCAAGTAATGAATGTCAGAGGATTTGGAGGCTGGGTGGCTTCCGGAGACTAGAGGACTAGAAAGGAAAAATTGCCTGCATTTTGCGAATTGTCTTTTTCATGTTGTCATCAACAGTTTCGTAATCGTGTTCAGAGCTGTCGCTCTCCGTGCCTGGAAGGGAAGAGAGAGCACAGCCTGCAGATGTGCACTGCGAGGGGCCACAGCAGAAACCCCACAGGGGACGCCCCGACCTCCTCTCTCCACCTCCCCGGTCTGAGCTGCGCCTGGTCACAGTGGGGACTGAGGGTGTGGGGGGAGAAGGGCCAAGGGAGAAGGTGGCAGCTGCTCTGCCACCACAGACACCAGCCTCTGGGGCCATGGGTCCCCTGTGATCTGGGGGGAGGTGGGAAGGTGTCCCATTCGATGGCAGATGGAGGCCAAGGGCCTGACGGTGTTGACCATGCCATCGTCCTTGAGATCAAGCCTTGCTTCCCCTTGTGCCATAGTCCCCGTGTGGGACAAGAGGTTGGGGTGACCCCCCCATGTGTCTCCTCTGCATGTGGGACATGGGGATGGGGCAATTCCTCATGGGTCCCCCCCACCTGTGGGACAAGAGGAAGGGGAGGTGCAGCCCCCACGGGGTCCCGGCTGGCTGCAGCACAGGCATCCCCAGCTGAGCATCCGTGCCCCAGGTCCCCATGAGGACTGCCCCAGGGAGGTGGTGACCAGCAGCACTCCCCAGTTAAGCAGGACCCGATGACGCTGCCTGGGGGCCCCGTTCTCCCACCAGGGCAGCACGTCTCCGGGGTGAGCCCCGCGGAGGGGCCAGGGCCCGGGAGGCGCTGGGGGCCTCACCTGCACCCCTGGGGAGTCCCGGATGGCTGTGCTGGCTGGGGGTGCTTGGCCGGGGCAGGGCTGGCAGCGGCGGCAGCGGAGGAGCCAGGCAGG